AAGAGACCACCACCATACAAGTCGAGTGGAATTGGTGTGTCATGGAGGAAACATAATACCAACACTAAACAACTATCCTAACGCACCACACCTGCGTGCGTACCAACCCCTTGGCACAACAGAGGAGCAGCACCAATCAACGAGTGACCCATCACGAACCTTAACTGGAAACTACGCCATAGCAAGCCGACACGATTAGCAAGGTGGGGAGGCATCGTTGCGTCGTTGTTGAGCAAAGATGAACCGAGATAGCACGAAGAGCACGAAGCTCACCAAAACGGACGACAGGCATGAGAGGGTCTTGAGCTAGCATAGCAGAGGATGACCAACCCCCAAGGGCAACGGAGGATGAATGGCGGCAAGGAGCTTCCTAGTGACGCCTTCAAGAAGGTGGACGACATCCGAGGATGACGCCGTCATAGAGCTTTCGTCTGGAGCATAACCGGTTAAATTCCCAGAGGGCAGAGCCTAGAGCTGCGAATCCGGACCGAGAGACAGGAGTGGCACATGAGCCACGCCCCCAAGAGGGTAAGCGACGCTGGAGTAGCGTCGCCGTGGTCAGCTGACAAAGTCAGCGGGGATTTCTCCCGTAGCACATCCGTCAATGGTGGGCCGCCATCCAAGTGGAGTCGAAGGGCGACAGAGGACAGGACCGAGACGGACATATGAGGTGGATGGTGAACCGAGGAAGGACGAGTGGAGCAGGCCGCCGGTGAGGAGGGTGGAGACGAGGTGGGGCGGCGTCGGAGGTGGACAGAGGGCGGGGGCACCAGAGTAGAGGTTCTTCCGGCCAGAGACTGGCGGTGGCGGGGACGGGAAGGGCGAGTGGGGTGGAGGCGCAGTACGGGGTGGGGATCGAGGCGAGGTGGAGCGGGGTGCATCATCCGCCGGAGAGGATGGGGGTGGCGAGGGGAGCAATGGGAGCTGCGAGCCGAGGGAGAGCCGGATCCGCGCCCGGAACCTCCGGATCCGTCGTCGGCCAGCCGAGAACGGACGGCCAGGAGGCCGAAACGCAGCCGCGGGCGCCGCCGGCGCCAGGGGCCAGGCCGCCCGCCCACCTAGCGCCAGCAGAGGAGGGTCGACGCGGAGGATGGCGGCGCAGGTCGAGGGCGCGAGCACCGGCCGGAACAGGCCGGAGGAGGACGCCGACGGCCCCGGAGAGCTGAGGACGAGATGGATCTGGATCTGGCAAGTGAAGATGGACCGGGGAGGGTGGTCGCAGCCGCGGGCTGCGTGCGTCCTCGCCGCCGCCGTCAGCCGCTGGGCTTTGCCCTTAGGCTTCCTCCGGAGACGGCGAGAAGGGAATGGGCAGCACGGTCGCTCCCTGTTGTTGGCGGCGGCGGGGGCCTCCGGAGTCGCGAGAGCGACCCGGGCTTTTGCAGTAGATTAAATTTTATAAGGCCTGCCGTGTATTATATGACACATTTTTTTAATGAATTTCTTGACATTTGAATGGCCCCACTTGATTTGAGAATGTAGCATGTTTGGCTCTATGTATGATTAAGAAATATAATATGATCGTGTACACGAACGCCTATACGTGGAGGTCCGACAACACAATTGCCGCCACAGCCATCCTCGACACTATGCTCCATGCCCTGGATTCTCGAGCATCGTGCTAGCGTTAGGTCCAGCCATGGCATCCCTCCAAGGGGCGGGCGAATGCCCCCTACCAACTCCCCTTTAATAGTAGAGACATATATGATTTTTCTAAGATCAAAATATATGTATGATTTGGTACGGTAAGAAAAAAAATATGTTAATTTTGTTATATTAGATAAGTTTTCATTGTGACATAATAGTAGAGATAATAATAGTAATAAATGGTATAGTGTGCGGGGTTAGGAATTTTTTATTGAGGAATATCTGATTTTTGGGAAGGTTATCGAGAAAAATATCATGTCTACCTTTTAGGAAGGTGATCTCACATATACGGTTTAATCTCTGGATTCTTAATTACATATTATTTCCATGATTGAATTTAATCCGCACCTGTCAAAGCAAGCATGAAACAAGATCTCACTGGTTTAATGGGAGGGAGAAAAATCTAGTGAAAGGATGGTGGGAGGTGAGGCGAAATTAAACCAGACGAAAATAAAACCGGTGAGGAGAAACTACCAACTCCCCCTTTAGCAGTAGAGATTTCACGAGCTCGAAAATGTTTGAAACTTTGTATGGTGTCTTCATTGGACACATGTAGGGTGTTGTAAATATTTAAAATTGTTACGACAAAAACTTGATGCACATCATGTACAAACAGGACACTCACGCCCGAAGTAGCTTTACATATGGCGGGCACTTCAATGTACCCGCCACTGCTAACTTCTGGATATTTTTTTGCACGGGTCACCACATTTTTAATCTATGGCGAGCATAAGTATTGCCTGCCACTGCTAACTTCTGGATATATAAAATTTATTTTTGACGCGGGTCTCCCCAATTTATCTGTGGCGGGCATAGCTAGGGCCCGCCATTGATACCCTCCGTACTAGTGGCGGGTTTCCATCCTTGCCCGCCAATGCTCACTTTCATTATGCATGCAAATTTGGGAGAGTTCACTTGTGGCGGGTTTTTATACTCGCCCACCTGTGCTAGGCTAACAACAGTGACGGGTACGTTTTGCTACCCGCTACTGTTGCGTTTCCAAAATAGCAATGAAGGGTGACTATCTATGCCCGCCACTAATTTGAGGCCACCTATAGGCCTTTTCCATTAGTGAATGGCCAGATTAAGCCCTTTGGGCGACATGCTAGAGGGGCAACACGAATGCGTCCTCACCAGACCGATGGGTTTCAACATGTGTCCAGCGGGTCACACTCGTCAGTCTGACGTGGTGTACGCATCCGGGCATGACCGGGCCTCCTCATACATGTTCCCGATATGAGCTGGATATAGAGGTGCCAGTCAGCCAGGACATATATGGCTGGTCTGAGAAGCCTGCATGGGTCACGACTCTTTGACCTGTCACTCACTAGACCGTTCTCCCGAAAGTACGGACCATTTGAGGGGAGGGGAACTTTTGGTCTATGGATGTATATACACCCTATATGGGAAAAATAGAAATTAAACAAAAAGTCAATAAATTCTGAAAATATTTTTTGAAACAAAATTGACCTTCCATTGTACTGGTAAAAGAAATTCCACAAAAAAATATCGTTGACTTATTTTTAAAAAGACAAAAATTTTGGTCAAAATAGTGTGAATAGTGAGCTATAACAGAAAATGAATTTCTTTTTGCCCTGAAGTCAATGCTGGTTTTTTCTTGGTAAAAAATTATATACTACTAGTGCAAAAGAAAGTCAAGTTTATTGTAAAAGAAACTTTCAAACAGTTTTGACTTTTTTCTTGAATTATCATTCATTTTTTCATATGGGATGCATATACACCCGAAAATCAAAGGGTATTTATCGTATTTGTGGAGCCTGGGTGTAGATTCTCTCAGCAACTGATTAGACCCAGCTCGCTATAGAGCATTTCTTTCAGAATTGGAAATACAGAGCCTTCCGGCGGTCACCATGCATGGCTAGCCGGATCTTTTTTGGCACGAATAAATGGGCGAAGTTAATCTTCTGCGTGAGCGTGATTACACGTGACAGCTCACACTTAAAGTTTGAGGTTTATTTCGTTTCAATTTTCCTCGTACTCGTAGAGCAGTACAGCTGGCTATCGAGTACCGGGCCCGCTTTCCTCTTTCTGCATGGGTTGCGGGAGCCGTTCCAGCGAACGTGGAGGAGCCGCCCGACGCCCGACGGTTCTTCGATTCCTCCCTCCCCACGCTGCTCATCCTCTCCGCCAACTCCCCACACCAGACCACACCACACCAAATCCCCAGTCGTAAATCAGTTGCGCCCCACCGTCAGCGGTGCCGGCGACTGGACACGGCAACTCCCAGCCGCCACCTTCCGCCGAATCATCTCTCGTCGCGGGGTCCGGCGGCGGCGGCGGCGGCTCCGCACGGGCTCGGATCGGTTTCACCTTTTCTCGGTAAGGAACCCTAGCTTCCTTTGGGTACTCATCTAGTTAGATTGCCTACGTACTTACTTCCGGAGAGCGCAAATCGATCTCGATCGGTGTCAGTTAGGCTGAACGTTTTGGGGTTCAACTGAACCCACGTCTCCGCACACTAAATCCGCCCCTCCTGTCCAGGAACAAAAAAGCACCCGTGAATGGCGTGAAACATACTGTACGTGGCTTCCAAGTAGAAACGAATCATATTCTCATGATTTGTGTGTGCCGCACTCCTGTTCAAAATCTGGAACCCCGTTTTGAGAATTTCTGGTGGTACAACTAAGCAGTCCTGCAACTAAGGTTCAGCAAATTAGTGGAGTACCTTTACTTCTGTTGTCCTGGTTCCTTTGAGTGATTAGGATGGTTTGCCGCCCCTATACTACATTGTGTATGTCTTTCAGTCTTTATACTTCTTTTTACAAAGTTTGACACAAGACATTTGGTGTGAATGATGGTTTGCCTCCTTTGGATTGGTTACGTCGTTGTACAAACAGTCATTTCATTTGCCTTTATGTGTAGGATTTTTTTTTTATGCCTGGACGTTTCCATTTGCATGTACGAGTTTCTCTTCTAGGCTATATACATACGTGAGCTGGAGCTGCCATTTTATCCCAATACTTTTCTGAAATAGCGAAAAACTGAAACAACTTCTTGAGGACGCCAGGTTCTCTATCAGTAGCAGGTTGCGTATTGTTCTTGTATTGCCATCTTAGTGTTGCGATTTTTGTGACAGCCCACAGTTTCTGATTACTTTACTTATAGTTTTAAGACTTTGGATGCATATCTGTTAATTCTCATAATATCTCATCATGATCTTCTACATTTCTATATGGACCTGTTCCTGAAAATCCCAATTAAAAGAACACAAGGTCCTAGTGTTCTAGTGAATACGTTCAATTTGAACATTTATAAATGGTTTAACAAATGTAAACCTATTTCTTATGTAGGATACGTGTTGAATTTTGTAGTTGATTGCCAATAGACTGCCAAACATGGTGATGTCTCTAGACAATTTAAGGGGCTTTGCATTAGCCACATCATCAAGTGCTTTTATTGGATCTAGCTTTGTGATCAAGAAGATTGGCCTGAAGAAAGCTGGGGACGTTGGGGTAAGAGCAGGTTGTGCCTCCCTCCTATATCTATTTCAATATTTTTTTCTCGCATACAAGGTGATTTAATGATAAAGTTTTAATATTTATTCTGCATTTAATCCATTAGTAATTAATCTACGTTTTTTATCCTCATGATTTATAGGTTCTGGAGGCTACTCATACTTGTATGAACCGTTATGGTGGATAGGAATGGTAACTAGTAAGTATCACTTACATTGAGTTGTTTTTTTATGCGTTGGCGTTACAGCAAAGGCACTCAGTAGAGATACTAACCCAATTGTCTTTTCTTTGTGGGGCAATACCCCACGAAAAAACTGACTTTTGTTCCCACACAAATATCTTCGAATAGATGTGTAGTTTGGTAGTTTTTACATCGGGCATTAGATGTCAGGTACGGATAGTGTCCGTGCTTATACCATTTATGAGAAGAAGGATGGATCACCTCCTCACAATACTAGAACACAGGAAACTAGTTTTACTATAGTTTTATTTGGAATGAACAATATTTTCTGATATGATGTAGGCTTGAAGTAATGTTTATCGCTCTATTATTTCTTGCAGTGATTCTGGGCGAGGTGGCCAATTTTGCAGCATATGCATTTGCGCCAGCAATACTTGTTACTCCTCTGGGAGCATTGAGCATCATATTTAGGTTTTCCACATGCCATCCTTTCTAAGCCACAATTCCGGTGAACTGATAGTAGAATGTTTCCTTAATTCTCTTTTGTTCATGCAGCGCAGTGCTAGCACACTTCATTTTGAATGAGAGGTTGCATATGTTTGGCGTGGTTGGTTGTGCATTATGTGTTGTTGGTTCAGTTGATATAGTTTTGCATGCCCCGATGGAAAGAAGGATTGATTCAGTTAGCGAAATATGGCAACTCGCAACTGAACCAGGTATCTCTTTTCAAGTCCTTAAATAATTCTAGCTGCTATTTGTCTTAGTTTCCCTTTGAATGAATGTTCATTGTGACCATGTGTCCTTAATAATATAGTTTGCTTTATAGCCAATTTACCATCATACTCCCTCCGTCCAAAAAAATTTGTCCCTTAAATGGATGTATCTAGCACCAAGTTAGTGCTAGATACATCTATTTGATGGAAAAGCTTGGGACAAGTTTTTCCGGGCGGAGGGAGTATGCAGTAATATTTTCTAACTTTCACCAGAGTTTTCCAGTTAGTTTCATATTTTTCCCAAGTAGGTCTCAGGAATATCTTGGCTATATAATTCAACAAAAAGAATATCCTTCTGTTAGCCGCTCCTTTTGTGCTTGGTCCCTTGTAGTGTTTGCTATTGTTCATTCTTTTAATGGATGGCAGTGCTACTGCATTGGCTTTAAGAAACAAAATGCTACATACAGGAATAAGTTTCTAAGTTAACAGTTTCAATTCGTTACTTGTTTTTGTGGACAAGACATGCTGTGTCATTCTACTGGATTTAATACCATCTATGTTTATATGCACTATATCTGTGGGAATATATCCGTAAAAAGTATATGGTGTTACACCACCAAGAAAGTATCTGAGGGAAGTTGTTTCCCTTTGTGCAACAGTCTTTATGTTTGTGGCTATGTTTTCTATCCCACTTTTTCAGTATAATATTTATGTTATCAAATCCATTTTTGACACACAACTATAATCTGTGCTGGCAGGTTTCATAGTCTATTCTTGCTTGGCTGTAGCTCTTGCACTTGTTTTAATGTTCTGGGTTGTTCACCATACCGAGCAAAGAAAAATGCTCGCGTATGTTGCAATATGTTCACTATTTGGGTCTCTTACGGTAGGTTTACAATACATCATACCAGGACTTGAGCTGTTCAAATTGATTTAGAACGCCCTGATGAAGTGCTATATTTGGAACAGGTTATCAGTGTTAAAGCAGTGGCCATTGCTTTAAAGCTCTCATTTAACGGAGTGAACCAATTTGTCTACATCCAAACATGGTTCTTTATTTCTGTTGTGATTATATGCTGTTTAGTGCAGCTGAATTATTTAAACAAGGTAAGCTCTCCCGTCATATTCAATCAACTGAAGTATACTGCCATACATATGAATTGCATTACTTCAGGGCCTAACCTACAGTATTCCGCAAAAAAAAATTGAAATGGAATTGCCAATATTCTTATCACTAGAACAACTACAGACAAACCGAAGGATGCAAGCGGGCATTCCACGAAGCCCACATACAAGTATATCAAAAGTCAGTCCTATGTGGATCTAAAATAAAAGCTATACTGGGTTGACTTTTATTATACTTGTATGCTGGTGTATGTAGGCTCCTGCTTGCATCCCAAACTACATTGAATGTGCAATGGTTGTAATTCCCATGGTAATAGGTCTGTTAACAAAGGATGCTTGCCGATTGCCATTCACCCAGGACATTTTCTGAGAAGTAAAGTTTGATGCTTAGCAATCTTTTTAAGCATGTCTACAATCTCAGACATCAATTTTGCAGTTCTCCTGTTTGTAAAATGGTAATTACTTGGAAAGTAGTACTCTACTGATGAGTGTACAAGCACCGTACTTTTTTAAAGGAAAGTACAAGTAGTGTACTGAACCTTGCACTTTGCGGCGACAAATCCCATCTCTGAATGGTGTGCACAATATACTGCTCTTACCTCGTCTGAAATATCTCATTGCAGACGTCTAAGCATTCTAAAGTTTGTGTTGCATAAAAGAAATGATTATAGAACATACTGATTTGAGTTAAAGCTTTTTTAGCGCACATTTGTGAGCTAGAAGTTTTCATAGCTTCTTTAGCACTTGTGATGAAAGGCTTAGTGCTTCTGTAAGAATCTCACAAGTTCTACTTGCTTTAGTTTTACATTTGCTGATATATGTGAGTAATTTGCATCTTTCGAGCACGGCGTTACAATATATTTGCAACAACAACTTTTCCCTTGTGTTATTTTCAGGCCTTGGATTCATTCAATACAGCTGTGGTCGCGCCTGTATATTATGTGATGTTCACCATTCTTACTATTCTTGCGAACATGATCATGTACAAGGTGATGCACATATCGTTTCCTTTTGTAGTTTCATGAATGCAATAGTTTTTAGCAGTTTCATGAATGCAAAATTTTCTAGTTAGCCATTTTCCCATTTCATGAAGACAAGATATGGAAGTTTCACATGAATTCCTATTTGAAAATGTGTTCACTACGATACTACATAACCATTCTGAAATGCAGCACTATGAACTAGTGATATTGACTCGAAATTCCTTTGTAAATCCTCTATCATATTAAGGACTTGAATAAATTGGTACGTAGTATTGACTTATGAATGCGACTAGATAGCATTTGATGGTTGCTACTTTACTATCGCAGGACTGGGACTCTCAGAATGCAACACAGATAGCAAGTGAGGTGTGTGGGTTTGTGACGATTGTTGCGGGGACATTTCTTCTGCACAAGACCAGAGATATGGGGAACACACAACCTGACTCAGATTCTCTGAGAGCGGACTGTGAACTCCAGGAGCATAGCTAGTCACACTCTCCTGTTGAATATCTAACATATCAAAACACATACTCTTGTTGAACGTCTAACATAGAGATCTCCCTAACATATACTGGAACTTTTGGAATCTCAGTCCACATGCATCAATTGCAGCTTCACTTATAGGAATATTTGCTCTAATAGTACTGGTTTAGCACATTAACAATTAAGGATCTACATATATGCGTTTTTATAAGCTTTATAGGAATATTTGCTGTAATGTTAAATTGTTAATTATGCCAAGACTTGACGTTTCTTCAGTTTAGGGAAACACTTATATTCCATTGTAGTTGTGAATATAATTGATGATATTCGACCGTAATGTGTCGCTAAATTCGGGATGTTAACACCGGGGTAGTAATTCTGATGCAAAACATACTTATGGAACTACAGAGGCAAGGCAGGAGTTAAGTGGAGTTTTTGCTTGTTTGGATGCCACCATGATGCATCATTTATAGTACATTAGTTTTTCCTTTCTTTTGTGGGAAGCACACACATTGTGGTTCAGAATTCAC